TATGTGTACTCTCCTAGTTGTAGGTAAGTACTGGTCCAAATAGAACCGAACCAGGAGTAAGCCACTTAGAAGAGAGATGTAGAATTGAGGGAGGATGAATATAGAACCAAAACGTAAGAATAATATGATTGTATTCTAAGGTAATACTAGACCTGTTCACTAAGGATGCGACAGAAAACGTCCACATATCAGTGCTTTTACCCTAACCCTAACCCAGCCCTTATCTGTACCTAACCTTTTGCATTTCTCCTAACCCTTAGAGGAGACCCTGCTAAGTACAAATCAGTTGCTGTTTTCTTCTGCGTAACCAATTTACCACAATAGTGAAAAGGACTTCAGGGTGACAAAAAATATGGGCAGAGGTGGAGTATTGGTGTGGAGGTTAATAACCTCTGATGGTGAAATCGAAGTCTGAAGGATAAGGAGAAGGCTGAATGAGGAAAACTACAGCTCCTTCATTGTGGAAGATGTTCTGCCTGTGATAGAAGAAATTGAGGCAAAAATGGGCAGGCAGTAAATCTTCCAGCAAGACAATGCTGGCTGTCACACGGAAAACAGAAAGAAACAACAATAAAATAAATAAATGTTTAAAAACAACAATATCACACCCATTGATTGGCCAGCAAGGAGCCCCAATCTGAGTCCAATAGAGAACATGTGGCGCCTGACCAAGACAATGGTCTATGATGACCCAAGTTTAACCTATTATTAAAAACTAAAAAATAATCTTTTTTCATCATGAAAAAGATTTTTTATATTTGGCCTATAAAAATTTGAGGTGTTCCAACATACCTTTCGTTTACTTTATACAGTAATTTTTAATATTCAATAACTAAGAAACTTAACTTAAAAAAGCATTTAAGTTGAATAAATATAAGTTGAATAAAATTTTTATTTGAGACATCTATTTGAATAGCAAACAAAATGTCAAGGCAATGCTGGAATAACCATGTCACAGGGCCAAATAAAGAAAGAGCTCTTTTACTAAAAAATTTAGCTAATAATATTCACAAAATATGATGATTTTTTTAAATTTTTTCAATATTATGTCAATTTAACTTTAGAAAAAAAATACTACTTTGCATCAAACAAACCATTTTAACTGTAAATTAAAAGTAGGTCTATCAAAATTTATGGCGTCTACATGTTACTATCATTTACTTTGTAATGTCTATTATTTGTAAATATTTTTTCAACTTCCTTTTATATTTTGTCTGTAAATGGTCAAGTGTCTGATGCCTACAAACTTTATTCAGGTCAACCTCAAGTTCATCAAAGGTCATCTGGTATTTTTTCCCATCTTGCCAGCTCTCTAATTGGAATTTGGTATCTCATTTTGACTATCAAGTTGAAAGAATTGTCTACTAAAAAAAAATTTTTCTTTCCAAAAATGGATATTTTTGTCTTGGATTGTAGAGCAAAATATGCCATACTTGCACATATGAAAAAATATTCTTACAATTGAAAGTAATAAATAGATGTTATTTAAATAATTAATTTATTTTATCCAGTACTATTGAAGTATTTCTCTATGCTGTAATTTTAAAACAGCTTAAATTTATTTGTTGGTACTTTCTATGAATCTTAGTCAACTATATTTTTTCAATGTTCATTTACATTTTAATGCAATTCTTCAGCATTTTCTGTCAAAACCCCAGAACATAGCACTGAAATACTCCGACCTGAGCTGATTTTTGGCACTATCAAAAGAACACTAATTGAAGTAACTCTCTTCTGAGTCCGTCCCATGCACTATTTGTATTCAACCATTAGGAACAATTAGACTTCACTGTTTTGTAAACCTGTTATACTGCTTCCACTTGCCGTACTTATCCATCTATATTAATACCCATTTAAAAACTGTAGACTTGACTCAATACTATTTTATATGAGTGGATAACAATAGCTTTTGGGGCAGGTGTGCACAATACTACTATGTGTACATATATATACGGTCACATTATGACTAGACTTGGCAATGTGCCAAGTTTAGATTTTTATAGATTTACATTGTGTTTCATCATTACAAATGCTATGTCATTACTCTTTAGAGCCCTAGTTAAGACACATATATCATTTGTTCTATGGTACTAAAACTTTCCCCAATCACAGAATCACTTTCCTTACCTGTCACCAATTATCTACACTATGAGCGCCATTTTAAATCCACCGGAAACTTATCAAATGCGCCATCTACAGAAAGCAATGAACAAAGACAGAATAAACCGAACAATATATCAAAATTGCAAGTATTCCAATCAACAAATGAAAGATGAATAAGTGTCATAAGACACCCAAAACAAAAATCTCTTACAAATTAATTGAAAAAACCTATACAAGACAAAAACCCAAAAAAGCGAGATAAATAAGATTTTTAGAGAGCACAGTCAACAGCATGAATAAAAAATAGCAAAAAGAGACACACTTCAGAAAAAGCTCAAAGAGCATGTTTCATCGTTAAGTGTTATCGCTTCTCGGCCTTTTGGCTAAGATCAAAGTGTAGTATCTGTTCTAGTTAGTTT